TAGATATGGTTATTAATTCTCTCACATCATTCAAAAATTTAAATAGATGATATCCGTGATATCCGAATGTGGAAAGGGGAAAAAATTATATCCTGCCTTTAAAGTAAAAATATTACGTTCATTTTATAAATATAGCTGAAGTGCTCTCTTCACGCTTTCACGCTTTCACCGAACGCCAAAAACGCGCATCCACGCTAGAAATATTTTTTTCACGTAATCCAAATATCAAAAATATGTTATCTTCATTATCGAAATTACCTTATCCTTGTTATCCTGATATCAAATTTACGTTATCCCCCTTCATCCAAGGTATCTTATTCATGTTATCAAAATTATCTTATCCACATTATCCAAATATAAAAGTGACTTTATCCACTTTATCCGAATATCAAAATAACCTTATCCGTCTTATCCAAATATCATACTTATGTTATCTGAATATAAAAACAATCTTATCCGCGTTCTCCAAATATCAAAATAACCTTATCCGTGTTATCCAAATATCAAAATTATCTTATCCACGTTATCCAAATTTAAAAATAACCTTAACCACGTTGTCCAAATGTCAAAATTACCTTATCCACATTATCCAAGTATCAGCATTATCTTATCCACGTTATCCAAATATCAGAATAATCTTATCCACGTTATCCAAATATCAAAATTATCTTATCCACGTTATCCAAATTTAAAACTGACCTTTTCCGCGTTATCCAAATATCAAAATTGTGATATCCACGTTATTTTAATATAGAAATAACCTTACCCGCGTTATCCAAATATCAAAATAATCTTATCCGCGGTATCCAAATATCAAAATTATCTTATCCTCGTTATGCAAATATTAAAATGATCTTATCCACGCTATCCTAATATCAAAATGATCTTATCCACGTTATCCAAATATCAAAATAATCTTATCCGCGTTATGCAAATATTAAAATGATCTTATCCGCGTTATCCAAATATCAAAATTATCTTATCCACGTTATCGAAATATCAAAATTATATTATCCACGTTATCGAAATATCAAAACTATCTTATCCAAATATCAAAATTACCTTATCCAAGTATCAATATTATCTTATCCACTTTATGCAAATATTAAAAAAAATCTTATCCGCGTTATCCAAATATCAAAATTATCTTATCCACGCTATCCAAATATCAAAATTATCTTATCCACGTTATCCAAATATCAAAATTATCTTATCCACGCTATCCAAATATCAAAATTATCTTATCCACGTTATCCAAATATCAAAATTATCTTATCCACGTTATCCAAATATCAAAATTATCTTATCCACGCTATCCAAATATCAAAATCGTGATATCCACGTTATTTTAATATAGAAATAACCTTACCCGCGTTATCCAAATATCAAAATAATCTTATCCGCGGTATCCAAATATCAAAATTATCTTATCCTCGTTATGCAAATATTAAAATGATCTTATCCACGCTATCCTAATATCAAAATGATCTTATCCACGTTATCCAAATATCAAAATAATCTTATCCGCGTTGTCCAAATATCAAAATTATCTTATCCGCGTTATGCAAATATTAAAATGATCTTATCCGCGTTATCCAAATATCAAAATTATCTTATCCACGTTATCGAAATATCAAAATTATCTTATCCACGTTATCGAAATATCAAAACTATCTTATCCAAATATCAAAATTACCTTATCCAAGTATCAATATTATCTTATCCACTTTATGCAAATATTAAAAAAAATCTTATCCGCGTTATCCAAATATCAAAATTATCTTATCCACGCTATCCAAATATCAAAATAACCTTATCCACGTTATCCAAATTTAAAAATAACCTTATCCGTGTTATCCAAATATCAAAATAACCTTATCCGCGTTATCCAAATATCAAAATTATCTTATCCACGTTATCCAAATGTCTAAATCATCTTATCTACGTTATCCAAATGTCAAAATTGCCTTATCCACGTTGTCCAAATATCAAAATTTTTTTATCCACGTTATCGAAATATCAAAATTATCTTATCCACGTTATCCAAATTTAAAAATAACCTCATCCACGTTATCCAAATTTAAAAATAACCTTATCCGCGTTATCCAAATATCAAAATTATCTTATCCACGTTGTGCAAATATTAAAATAATCATATCCGCGTTATCCAAATATCAAAATTATCTTATACACGTTATCCAAATTTAAAAATAACCTTATCCACGTTATCTAAATTTAAAAATAACCTTATCCGCGTAATCCAAATATCAAAATGATCTTATCCACGCTATCCAAATATCAAAATTATCTTATCCACGTTGTGCAAATATTAAAATAATCTTATCCGCGTTATCCAAATATGAAAATTATCTTTTATCCACTTTATCCAGATGTCAAATTTATCTTATCCACATTATTCAAATGTCAAAATTATCTTATCCACGTTATCCAAATATCAAAATAATCTTATCCGCGTTATCCAAATATCAAAATTATCTTATCCACGTTATCCAAATTTAAAAATAACCTTATCCGCGTTATCCAAATATCAAAATTATCTTATCCACGTAATCGATATATCAAAATTATCTTATCCACGTTATCCAAATATCAAAATTACCTTATCCACATTATCTAAAAGTCAAAATTACCATATCCACGTTATCCAAGTATCAACATTATCTTATCCACGTTATGCAAATGTCAAAATTACCTTATCCACGTTATCCAGATGTCAAAAATTATCTTATCCGCGTTGTCCAAATGTCAAAATTATATTATTCGTGTTATCGAAACTTCAAAATTATCCAAGTTATCAAAATTATCTTATCCACGTTATCCAAATTTAAAAATTACCTTATCCACATAATCCAAAAGTCAAAATTATCTTATCCGCGTTATTCAAATGTTAATTTATAAATATCAAATTTTTCTTATCCATACTATTCAAATATCAAAATGACTTTATCTGCATTATCAAAATGCAAGAATTATGTTATCCACTTCATCCAAATATCAAAATTATCTTATCCGCGTTATCCAAACATCAAAATTATCTTATTCACGTTATGCAAATGCTAAAATTATCTTATCCGCGTTATCAAAATGTGAAAATTATTGTATCCACGTTATCCAAACAGGGTGAGATGAAAAAACTGCAAACAACTTCAGACTGCTGTCATTTCTAAGCCACTCGTCCGACAGGTGTTAAAATTATTCCAGGGACAGCTCATTATATTGTTTACAAGCTTTTGTACATTTTGGTGAGAATTTTCCAGAACATAAGTTATTTGTGATGGAATTCAAGCGTGATAGTGTAGTTTCTTTGTATTTGGCTGGAAAACCACAAGTGGCTATCGTTAGAGCACTCCAGCATTCTTTTGTGTCTCGTACCATCGCTCGTTGTGTGTCGCAATGGCCGAAAAATGGCTCGTGAACTGAACATGTCGCAAAATTCCATTCGGCAAATATTGAAAAATGAGCTCGGGGTAAAGCCATTGAAATTCTCAATTCGGTCGTAAGTGCCAAATTCCATCCCATTTGGACAAATATTAGACTTTTTGTGCACAATAAAAGGCAAATCGGACGAAGTTATATATGGCAGCTATATCCAAATCTGAACCGATCTCGATAAAATTTAGCAAAGGTGTTTCTGAGCTATATTTGATATATTTCCCCAAATGTTGTTGTTACAGAGTGCATATTACGCCTGCGGAGGACAAAAATAACAAATCGGATGAACAATATATATATATGGGAGCTATAGCTATATCTGAACCGATTTCGATCAAATTTGGCATACTTATTTTCAGGCCTAATTTGGTTTTATATGCAAAATTCCATACTATTTGGGCTGATATTACACGTTTGGTGCACAATAAAAGGCAAATCGGACGAAGATATATATGTGGGAGCTATGTCTAAATTTTGACCGATTATCTCCAATTTCAATAGGGTTCGTCCTTGGACCATACGAATGATTTGTGCAAATTTTTATCAGGATCGGGTAATAAATGCGAACTGCACTTTGTTTACAAAAATACATGGACAGACGGACGGACATGCATAAATCGACTCAGAATGTGATTCTATGCAGATCATTAAAAGGAACTATGGGTCTATCTCGTTTCCTTTTGCCTGTTACAAACAAATGCACAATGACATAATACCCTGACCACCTTGTGGTGTAGGGTATAAAAATGATGCATCCTAGTTATACAAATCTGAAAAAACCTAATCACATGCTTATTTCTGCTTTACAACACTTAAAAATATTATTTCTCAAAAAAAAAAAAAAAAAAAAAAAAAAAAAAACGCTTCATATTCTTTGCCACCTCATTTGTTATTGGCAATAGGGTGCTAATTATTTGCCTTTTGGGTTAATTTTGAAATTTTATAAAAATAAAAAAATCGAAAACGAACTCTAATGAATGTGTGAAACTGCATTACAACGGGGCAATAGAAATCATAGCAAACAACAAAAACAAAAACATCAGTAAAATTGAAATACAAAGCTGCTAATGGTGTTGTAAAAAAGCCAAAGTGAATAATCTGTTAACGAACAACAGCCGCAATAACACCCTCAACCAATGGGGTTTTGGAAAATTGATGCCCCCGCCACAATAGAATGAAGCCATAGCATCAACACCCCTGCCATTTCCCTTCCAGCCCAACATCCATCAGCTGTAGAACAATATGTCGATGATGACGATGACGTTTGTGGTTGTGAATTGTGGCAATGGCTTGCCCGGTTGGGTTTGTTTGTTGCAGCTCTACATTTTTTGTGCGTTTGTGTGTTGTAAATCGTAATTTCAAAATATGTTCGATTGTTCCGAAAAACTTGACCTAGTTTTTGGTCGCTGGCATTTTCAGCTGATTCAAACACATATCGTCAGCGTGTCGGGGGAGGATTGTTTTTCGAATTTATTTTGTAATGCAATTCTTTTATTTTTTTTACTTCAACTCTTTACAAATATTTAATTCTTTTTCTTCTCTTCCAGTTACAATGGTTATCTGCCACAGGGCGATCGTGGCCGAAGACGTTCCAAGTTTGTCCTGTACAAACGCAGCGAACCCAGTGGTGTCAAACGCTCCAAACACTACATTGTCCAGTCGCCACAAACATCAAAAGCCATACTCGATGCCAATCAACATTCAATATCGTACACATTATCTCGCAATCAAGCTGTCATAGTCGAATACAAAGAGGATACGGAAACGGATATGTTTCAGGTGAGTAACTGGCTGGCTGGCTTGGCCATACCAGCCATATGGGTGTGTGGTGGGCATACGAGTGTGTGTGTGTGCATGTGTAGTTTTATAATGTACTCAAGAACATTATTTTATGGCATAGAATGACAAATGTCAAAACGATGACACATGTCAGTTGAATGTCTAATAAAAATAGGAAATTTCATTAATGGATATAAGAGAAATTATGAAGTGACCCTGAGGGGCAGTCACTTAGCCGTTGTTTACAAATAATTGGGGAAAATAATTATTTTGAAAAAAATTTTTTTTTTTTTTTTCACAAATGTGGATAAAATTTTTATCGACAATCGAAATATCAGAGACTCTCTCCTTTAGCTCGTCTAGAGAGACTCTCGCCTTGAGCTCGTCTAGAGAGACTCTCTCCTTGAGCTCGTCTAGAGAGACTCTCTCCTTGAGCTCGTCTAGAGAGACTCTCGCTTTGAGCTCGTCTAGAGAGACTCTCGCCTTGAGCTCGTCTAGAGAGACTCTCGCTTTGAGCTCGTCTAGAGAGACTCACTGTCCCTCCAGCTCGTCTAGAGAGACTCACTGTCCCTCCAGCTCGTCTAGAGAGACTCACTGTCCCTCCAGCTCGTCTAGAGAGACTCACTGTCCCTCCAGCTCGTCTAGAGAGATTCACTGTCCCTCCAGCTCGTCTAGAGAGACTCACTGTCCCTCCAGCTCGTCTAGAGAGACTCCCTGTCTCCCTCCACCTCGTCTATAGAGACTGTCTGTCCCTCCAGCTCGTCTATAGAGACTGTCTGTCCTTCCAGCTCGTCTATAGAGACTCTTTGTCCCTCCAACTCGTCTATAGAGACTTCCTGTCTCCTTCCAGCTCGTCCAGAGAGACTCCCGGTCTCCCTCCAGCTCGTCTATAGAGACTGTCTGTTCCTCCAGTTCGTCCATAGAGACTTTTTGTCCCTCCAGCTCGTCTATAGAGACTTTTTGTCCCTCCAGCTCGTCTATAGAGACTCTCTGTCCCTCCAGCTCGCGTATAGAGACTACCTGTCCCTCCAGCTCGTCCATAGAGACTCTCCATATCCCTCCAGCTCGTCCATAGAGACTGTCTGCCTCCCTCCAGCTTGTCCATAGAGACTATCTGTCCCCATCAAGCTCGTCTATATAGACAAACTGTCCCTCCAGCTCGTATATGGAGACTCCCTGTCCCTCCAGTTCGTCTGTATAGACTACCTGTCCCTCCAGCTCGTATATAGAGACTCCCTGGTCCTCCAACTCGTCTATAGTGACTCTCCTTCCCTCTCTCCCTCTGGCTCGTCTGTAAAGACTGGATCGACTAAAGACCGTAAACACTTTTTTAAGCTTATCTGTAAAGCTCGTCCGTAAAGACTCTCTCCAGCTCCTTCATAGAGACTTCCTCCTTCTCGCCTGTAAAGACTTTCTTGAACTCTCCTGTATATACATTTTTTTATAAAGACTGCCTCCATCTAGTCCACTGCCTTCGTCTCGCCTGGAAAAAGACTCCCTTCATCTCGCCAATAGGGAGTCCCTCCAGCTCATCTATAAAGATTCTCTTGAAATACTTCCTCCCCGTTTTTCCACAAAAACTCCCTTTTGGCTCTTCTTTATCAGGACCCATTTCAGTTTTTCTATTGGCAGACTCATCCGTTGATGAACTTTTCTTATCCACTTAGTTGCTATAAATTCCATCCTCCATCAATTATATAACCCGTCAAGATAATAATTGCAACTTATATAATCGACGGCAATTCCAACTGGTTGTTTCTCATTACTCCAATCATTTGCAGCTTGTTGTAAAACTTCTTTATTGATTTGTCTGTTTCGTGTTGTGGAACAGAAGACCCAGTTAAACGTTTCCGGTCTACAATTGCACACACACTCACACACAGATAGACACCTACCTACTTATCACTCGTTTCTTCCTACCACTCTTTGACTTACATTCATTATTTGCAATGCTGAGTGAGTTTTCAAGTTCCAATGACATCTATTCTGGCTGGGTGTTTGGTTGCAAGTGAACAAATTATTTGCTCAGCTTCTAACAAAAAAATATGGTTCTATTGATTTGGCGTTCACACTGCGAAGCGTTGAAAACCTGTTTCATTGATAAATTAAATTCTTTTCCTTCTTTCGTTTCCTTTGCAGGTTGGTCGCTCCTCGGAATCACCCATAGATTTTGTCGTAATGGACACACTGCCCGGTGACAAGAAGGACGCCAAAGTAATGCAGAGTACAATATCACGTTTTGCATGCCGCATTCTGGTCAATCGAAGTGAACCCTCCAAGGCGAGAATATTTGCAGCCGGCTTCGATTCGAGTAGGAATATTTTCTTGGGTGTAAGTATGTAAAAGCTACGATATTGGGTACTCCTCTCGCTCGCTCTCTTTCTCTATCGCTCTGGCAATTTATTATCAACTCCATGCAGAGCCTAAGCCAACCAGCCAGGCAGCCAGTCATCCAACCATCCATTCAGCCATGCCTGCAGCCCACAATAAGTTCTTGCCATAGCCGTTTTGCTGGAGCCGCCTCTCAGTGTATCATTAAAATTTAATCAATAAATTGTTTAAACTTTTTATGGGGGACGACAGAGTGAGAAGTTCGTGGAGAGCGAAAAGGGGGACGACTGTGTGTGCGGCTTAGCAGTCACCCAGCCAGTCAGCTTGAACTGTGCTTTGGTTGTGGCTGTGGTATTTTGTGTGGTATGGTGATGATGATGACTATGGCTATGGCTATGACGACGAGGAGTACTACAAGAGTGCCACTCAATTGCTTTGACTTTGCAAATCCAACAACACCAACAACAATGGCAATAGATAAATGTTTGATGGCAACGTAGTATTATTGTTGTTGTTGTGGTGGCCTGGCCTGGCCCATAATGCAAAAAGTGGGTCATTGTTACGGTATTCATAATTTGTTCGAAGGAATGGTGTCTCCACGTAGGTACTACGCCTAGCCATTCTCGCTTGGGTTGCTGCACTGGCTTCCTAAGTTATGGCTTGGGCGGCGTTTTGTACATTGAATTATTGGTATTTTTCTTGGTTGTGTGATTTGTTTGCAATTCATTAGTCAACATGTAATCTCTAGAAATCAATCTAAACTAATACCTCTGCACCACAATCCTTTTGTGGGATATTGGATTTGGAAAGAAAAGAATGTTGGAAATGGCCAAAGGGGAGCCTTTATAAAAGACTTAAAGGAGAGACCAAAACCACTCATTTTTATAGACAGTCAGAGGGAGTTCCTGATGGAGGATCAAAAAGGACGAAGTGAAGGAAGTCTCTATAGACGAGCTGGAGGGACAGGCGGTCTCTATAGACGAGCTGGAGAGACAGGGGGTCTCTATAGAAGAGCTGGTGGACAGGGAGTCTTTATAGACGAGCTGGAGGGACAGGTAGTCTCTATAGATGAGCTGGAGGGACAGGGAGTCTCTATAAACGAGCTGGAGGGACAGGGAGTCTCTATAAACGAGCTGGAGGGACAGGGAGTCTCTATAGACGAGCTGGAGGGACATGGAGTCTCTATAGACGAGCTGGGAGGGACAGGGAGTCTCTATAGACGAGCTGGGAGGGACAGTCAGTCTCTATAGACGAGCTGGAGGGACAGGGAGTCTCTATGGACGAGCTGGAGGGACAGGCAGTCTCTATAGACGAGCTGGAGGGACAGGGAGTCTCTATAGACGAGCTGGAGGGACAGGGAGTCTCTATAGACGAGCTGGAGGGACAGGGAGTCTCTATAGACGAGTTGGAGGGTCAGGGAGTCTCTATAGACGAGCTGGAGGGACAGGGAGTCTCTATAGACGAGCTGGAGGCGTAGAGAGTCTCTATAGACGAGCTGGAGGCGTAGAGAGTCTCTATGGACAAGCTGGAGGCGTAGAGAGTCTCTATAGACGAGCTGGAGGGACAGGAAGTCTCTATAGACGAGCTAGAGAGACAGGCGGTCTCCATAGACGAGCTGGAGGGACAGGGAGTCTCTATATACGAGCTGGAGGGACATGGAGTCTCTATAGACGAGCTGGCGGAACAGGGAGTCTCTGTAGACGAGCTGGCGGAACAGGGAGTCTCTATAGACGAGCTGGCGGAACAGGGAGTCTCTATAGACGAGCTGGCGGAACAGGGAGTCTCTATAGACGAGCTGGAGGCGTAGAGAGTCTATATAGACGAGCTGGAGGGACAGGAAGTCTCTATAGACGTGCTGGAGAGACAGGAAGTCTCTATAGACGTGTGGAGAGACAGGGAGTCTCTATGGACGAGCTGGAGAGACAGGGAGTCTCTATAGACGAGCTGGAGGGACAGAGAGTATCTATAGACGAGCTGGATGGACAGGGAGTCTCTATAGACGAGCTGGAGGGACAGGGAGTCTCTATAGACGAGCTGGAGGGACAGGGAGTCTCTATAGACGAGCTGGAGGGACAGGGAGTCTCTATAGACGAGCTGGAGGGACAGGGAGTCTCTATAGACGAGCTGGAGGGACAGGGAGTCTTTATAGACGAGCTGGAGGGACAGGGAGTCTTTATAGACGAGCTGGAGGGACAGGGAGTCTTTATAGACGAGCTGGAGGGACAGGGAGTCTCTATAGACGAGCTGGTGCGACAGGGAGTCTCTATGGACGAGCTGGAGGGAGACAGAGACTCTCAATAGACGAGTTGGAGGCGCAGGGAGTCTCTATAGACGATCTGGAGGCGCAGGGAGTCTCTATAGACGAGCTGGAGGCGCAGGGAGTCTCTATAGACGAGCTGGAGGCGCAGGGAGTCTCTATAGACGAGCTGGAGGCGCAGGGAGTCTCTATAGACGATCTGGAGGCGCAGGGAGTCTCTATAGACGAGCTGAAGGCGCAGGGAGTCTCTATAGACGAGCTGGAGGCGCAGGGAGTCTCTATAGACGAGCTGGAGGCGTAGGGAGTCTCTATAGACGAGCTGGAGGCGCAGGGAGTCTTTATAGACGAGCTGGAGGGAGGCAGGGAGTCTCTATAGACGAGCTGGAGGGAGGCAGGGAGTCTCTATAGACGAGCTGGAGGGAGGCAGGGAGTCTCTATAGACGAGCTGGAGGCGCAGGGAGTCTCTTTAAACGAGCTGGAGGGACAGGTAGTCTCTTTCGACGAGCTGGAGGGACTGGGAGTCTCTATAGTCGAGCAAGGAGGAGGGAGAGTCTGAAGAAGGGAGAGTTTATTTAGACGAGGCAGAAGGTGTGGCAGTCGCTATAGACGAGTCGGAAGGAGGGAGTCTCTATAGACGAGCCAGAATGATGGAGTCTCTATATACGGGCCAGAAGGAGAGTGAGTCTCTCTAAATGAGCCAGAAGGACGGAGAGTCTTCCTAGACGGGCGAGAAGGAAGCATCTTTAGATGCGCCAGAAGGAGGGAGAGTCTCTCTAGATGAGTCAGAACGATGGAGTCTATTTATAGTATCTATAGACTTACCAGAAGGAGGAACAAAGAGTCTCTATAAACAAGCCAACAGTTTGGAGTCTCTATAGGGAGTATATCCCCCCAGAAAGAAAAATCTAAAACGAACCAGCTTGTCTCTATAGACGAGTCAAAATTGTGTCTTTTTAAACTAGCAGATGGAGTCGTTTAAGATGAGCTGAAGTGAGGCTCTATAAACGAGCATATGCAAGTTGAATTCAGTTTTGGTAGGTGAACCTAAAGGAGTCTTGGTGGGCTAGCAGATAGAGACAGAGAGGTTTACTTTTTCATCATCGAATTGTGTATCTTGACTGTCAACAAGCAGTTAAATTTTGTTATGCTGTTTAAGCTTGTCTCGAAACCGATAATGAAGTCCATCACTAGTCCAAGTCCAATCCACACAATCCATCACCACACAATCTGAACATATCCTAAAACATTTCTTTAAAAAGACATCTTGAGTCAGAGAATATACTTCGAGCACAGCTTTGAACTGGGCAAAATTTGTAGCTTTAAGACTCATAGAAACGTAGTTTTTAGTCCCATAGCCTACCCGAAACACAATCTCTTAATCCAAATGTAATTTGGCCTTATGACAGAAATCCAGAATAGTTTTTATGGACAAAGAATAAATAAATATTCCCAAAGGATAAATATTCCCAAGGATTTGCCTCTTTGCTTTTTTCCTTTTATAATATTCTTTTAACCTGTTTTTCTTCTAGGAAAAAGCTACCAAATGGCAGGACAACATTGAAATTGATGGCCTTACAACAAATGGTGTTTTAATAATGCATCCACGAGGTCAGTTTTGTGGCGGCAATGCCAAGTGTGGCATTTGGCGTGAATGTTCGGTGGGTGGTGATGTCTTTAGTCTGCGTGAATCTCGCTCGGCCCAACAGAAAGGACAGCCGGTAAAACATAGAGGCTTTTCATAATAATATTCCTATTTTTAAATTTCCAAATTTAAATCTCTCTTTCCTTTTTTTCAGATTTATGATGAATCAAATGTCTTACAAGATGGCACTCTAATTGATTTGTGTGGTGCCACACTACTGTGGCGTTCTGCCGAAGGATTACAGCATTCACCGGTATTTATATCAGAACTTGTTTTTTTTTATTATTATTGGTGCATTTAAATTAATTCCCGATTTTTGGTGGTTTTCAGACAAAACGTGATTTGGAAAAATTAATTGACGAAGTCAATGCTGGTCGTCCTCAATGTCCTGTTGGCCTTAATACCTTAGTTATACCCCGTAAAGTGAATATTGGTGATCAAATTAATCAGCCTTATGTGTACTTAAATTGTGGTCATGTTCAAGGTAAATTTTGTTAGTTTTTCAAAATTGTTGTGTTTTAAAATGGCTTTAAAATTGGGAAGAATCATTTCAATTAGGGAATTGAAAAATTACATGGGTGACAATAAATGGTTTTTGAGTGGTTGGTATTCTTTTTTGTTTCGTACTTTTTGTACTTAAAACGTCGCTATGTATGTACTTACTTCGACGTTTATACGTTTCGAAAATAAATGCTGGTATAAATGTAGTAGATCTTCTAGATGATCTCCTCATGTATTCATTAACAAATTTTAAATCGACTTGCAAAACATTTCTTGTTTTTTTTATAACCTCCCTCATAGTATGGAGGGTATATTAAGTCTGTCCTTCCTCGAAATACACATTTTAGACCCCACAAAGTACATATATTCTTGATCAGCATAAAATTCTATCGATTCTGTCGATTTAGCGATGTCCGTCCGTCTATCCGTCTGTGGAAATCACTCTAGCTTCCGAACGAGTTGAAGTAGATTGATAAAATTTTACTCAAATGTATGTTAGTCTGCAGGACTTTTGATATTGAAAATGGGCCATATAGGTCCACGTTTTGGTATAGCCCCCATATAACGGTACCTCCCTATATTCTGTATTTTAATGATTTTAGCGAGACTGTTCACCAGAATTGTTTCAAATTTGGTATTTGAAGTTCGTAATGGATACTACAGCCTAAGACAGAAAATTGTCTATGCAGGTCCGCGTCTTCGTATAGGCCCCATATATCAGTGCCTCCCTATGTTCGGTATTTTGATGATTTTAGCGATATTATTCACCGGAATTGTTTCAAATTTGGTATTTGAAGTTCATAATAGATAGTACAGCCTATGACAGAAAATTGTCTGTGCAGGTCCACGTCTTCGTATAGCCCCCATTAACCGATACCTCCCGATATTCGGTATTTTGATGAATTTAGCGAGACTGTTCACCAGAATTGTTTCAAATTTGGTATTTGAAGTTCGTAATGGATGCTACAGTCTAAGACAGAAAATTGTGTGTGCAGATCCACGTCTTCATAGAGCCCCCATATAACGGTACCTCCCGATATTCGGTATTTTAATGATTTTAGCGACATTTTTCACCGGAATTGTTTCAAATTTGGTGTTTGAAGTTCGTAACGGATACTACAGTCTAAGACAGAAAATTGTCTGTGCAGGTCCACGTCTTCGTATAGGCCCCATATATCAGTGCCTCCCTATATTCGGTATTTTAATGATTTTAGCGACATTTTTCACCGGAATTGTTTCAAATTTGGTATTTAAAGTTCGTAATGGATACTACAGTCTAAGACGGAAAATTGTCTGTGCAGGTCCACGTCTTCGTATAGCCCCCATATAACGGTACTTCCCGATATTCGATTTTTTTTTAAGTTTCGCATTTTAATATTGTAATGGCTTATGAAAAATGTCACCTATGCAGGTCCATGTCGTCGTATAGACCCTAATATGACAGCTACATTCGGTATTTTTAGGATTTTAACAGAATTTTTAACGGATTTAATTGTTTTTGAGAATTGCCAAATTCGTTCCAAATGGTGGAGGGTATTCAAAGTTCAGCCCGGGTAAAAGTTCTATTCATAGTCAAACCTTATTTGTTGCTGTTGTAGCCGTAATACATGCAGATGTTTACTTCTGCTAAATTGCTTCGAGCTCCAGGTTTAAAAATTCGGATACCTTAATGGGCTGTAACCACAGAGAGCTTTTGGAGTGATAGATAAGGGAATGACTTTCGCCTCCTCATGTAGATGGTGTCATGAGAAGGCACTCTCTCGCAGTTCCCAGGGCGGCATTCTGGCAGGTCTGGATGTTCTTCCACTGCGTAGCATTAATATTCCCAGAACACACTGGAACTGCATAGTTGACCACAGACCTATCTGACCTATCGTATTATAAGAGGCCAACAAGGTTTCCTTGTCCGCACACCAAGTGCTGTCGGCTAGCGCCTTGAGACCTGTGTTCTTACTTTCCATCTTGTCGCCGACAGGTGTGGCTTGCGCGTACGACTTGAACTGTCGGCTGTCGAATGTGATCCCTAGGATCTTGGGTTAGTTCGTGGTCGGTATTATATTTCCCTCAACCTGCACATATTACGAACATGATGGACTCAAACACCAAATCGTATGAAACATATATATGGTAGCTATAGCTTTATCTGAACCGATTTTCCGATGTACTAGCTTCTAGACTGAATTTGGTCAGATGTACCAAAATTAAAAGTCATTGGGACTTATATTGGCCATTCGGTGCACAATTAACCCGAAATCGGTTGAAGCTATATTTGGGAGCTATATCTAAATCTGATCCGATTATCACCAATTTAAATAGGGTTCGACCTTGGGTCAAACACATATTGTTTGAAAAATCTCATCTCAATCGAATAACCTGAATTTTGTTCACAAGTACGGACTGACATGCATAAATCGACTCAGACACTATATGGTGTGGGGTATAAAAACATTAACCATTTCTCGATGGCGCAATCAATTCACCGTAACTCTAGACCCGATCTCGGTTGAGGACGATGAGGAATCTCTTGGGGTTTCCGAGCCACAGACTTGTTTCCGTAGCCACCCGCGTGGATATAGGCCTCATCTGCTACTGATTAATTTTCCGATCGCTTTGAATGGCATCAAGGACAGGATGTAATTGATGATCGGTCGGCTTGAGTTGTTGTGTTAACTTTGACCCGAGTCTTGAACCAAAATACGTTGTCATGACAATTGCAGAATGTTGCCCAAGTCCAAAGAACGACGAAGAATTGAGAAGTCTGGGGTACTTAAAAATAACACCTATTGTAAGGAAATCCCTGTACATTTTGAAATAAGGATTCTCAGTGAGTTGAAGAGCTCCCTGAAACAATTTGTGTGTATGTTTGATATCAAGGAATATAGGGGTCCACCTTTTCTTCTAGCTATCTTTTGATTCATTGTATTTCAATGCCTGAAGTGTTCCTCCTCTTAGAGCCTATTTACACCCTACACCACAAGGTGGTCAGGGTATTATGTCTTTGTGCATTTGTTTGTAACAGGCAAAAGGAAACGAGATAGACCCATAGTTCCTTTTGATGATCTGCATAGAATCACTTTCTGAGTCGATTTATGCATGTCCGTCAGTCCGTCTGTCCGTCCGTCTGTCTGTCCATGTATTCTTGTATAAAGAAAATGCAGGTCGCATTTATTATCCGATTGAGATGAAATTTTCAAAACAACATTTGTTTGGCCCAAGAACGAACCCTATTGAAATTGGAGATAATCGGTAAAAATTTAGATATAGCTCCCATATATATCTTCGTCCGATTTGCCTTCTATTGTACACCAAACGTGTAATATCAGCCCGAATAGTATGGAATTTTGCATATACAACCAAATTAGGCCAGAAAATAAGTATGCCAAATTTTATCGAAATCGGTTCAGATATAGCTATAGCTCCCATATATATTGTTCATCCGATTTGTTATTTCTGTCCTCCGCAGCCGTAATATGCACTCTGTAACAACAATATTTGGGGAAATATATTAAATGCAGCTCAGAAATACCTTTGCTAAATTTTATCGAGATCGGTTCAGATTTGGATATAGCTCCCATATATAACTTCGTCCGAATTACCTTTTATTGTGCACTAAACGTCTAATATTTGCCCAAGTGGGATGGAATTTGGCACATACGACCGAATTGAGTCTAGAAGGTAGTATGCCAAATTTGGTACAGATCGGTTCAGATATAGCTATAGCTCCCATATATATTGTTCATCCGATTTGTTGTATTCGTTATCCACAGCCGTAATATGCACTCCGTAACAACGATATTCAGGGAAATATATCAAATACAGCTCAAAAATATCTTTGCCAAATTTTATCGAGATCGGTTCAGATTTGAATATAGCTCCCATATATATCTTTATCAGATTTCAAATTAATTGTGCACCAAATGGGCAATACAAGTCCGAATTTAAAAGATACAAATGCTTTGGCATATTTAGTCCTTTGAATTTTAAATTCTAATTATAATCATAGCGTGTATGATTTAATTCTCCCATAAAAACTTTTAATTGTTATGTGGAGCTCAACTAAATTAGCAAAGTGGTGTAGGGTATCATAAAATCGGCCCCGCCAGACTTTAGGACTTTCTTTACTGGTTTTGATTTTATTTATGAATATATTTTCGTATTTTGTATTATTAACTACAATTTTCCGTAACATTTTTTGCAGGCCATCACGATTGGGGTCAGGATAAAAGTACCGGTGCCCGACGCTGTCCAATGTGTTTAGAAGTAGGACCTGTGGTGACATTGTGTATGGGTTTGGAACCGGCATTCTATGTAGATATTGGCCCGCCAACATTTGCATTTAATCCATGTGGTCACATGGCGACTGAGAAAACGGTTAAGTAAGTTCATCGGAAATCTTGTAACGATTTGAGCAATTTATTCGAAATCTTCACTCTTCTTCCAACAGATATTGGGTCAATGTGGATATACCACATGGTACAAATGCTTTTCAACCTGTTTGTCCATTCTGTGCGACGCCATTAGACGCCAATTCGGGTTATATTAAATTAATTTTTCAAGATAATTTAGATTAAAGTGTGTATTATATAAATATATTATTATTATTATTATAAATATTAAAGATAAAAACAAAACAAAACAAAACAAAGAAACATTTAAAGCAAATTTGCAAATAAAACAAAAAAAGAGAAAAGAAAACATGAAGATGAAAATAAGAAACAAATAATCCATAGGCTTTATTTTTCTAAAAACATAAAAATTATACAATAAGAAAAACAAAATATAGAGAAAATAAACATGAAATATTAATAATGAATTATTATTAATAATATTTACAAATTATTTTTTAAATATCAAACAAACAAACAAGCAACAAAAATTGTTCTATTTATACATAAAACATATAACAGTATCAAACATGCATTACATACATCTACACATCATCCCACATCCAAATGAACTGCATATACAACTCACATGGTTATTCTGTATTGAAAATTTGAATAAAAAATATATTTTGTTTTGTCTTACAATTTATAAAACATTATCAAGTATTATTTACTTACCCACACTTATGCTCCACCCCTTCATCCATATTGTTCATTGCATCCATTCACCATCATTATTATTATATTAGAAATTTTTTGTGTTAATTTTAAGCTATTCAAATATTGTTTTCATTTGATTTCTTTTTTAATTTTTTTTTCTTTCTTTCTATGTCAAATGATATGCATTTTCATTTGCTGAAATATTTTGTAAATTTAATATACAAAACGAATGTGTTAAATGATCATAGAGTTTCCCAAAAAACAACAGAAATTTATACACATTTCTCTTTATATGTACAATTATTGATTTCTTATCTTGAAGAAGATTGTATAACATTTATATGAAATTAAAATGTAATTTTTAAGAATTTAAAAAAATGTATTTGTAGCTTTTGTTTTTATTTAAGATTTTTTTTGTATTAGTTTTGTTGGTTCTTCATTTGTGAATTTGTGCAGTTTCAAATGTCATTTAATCAATTTCGTTTTGACTATTTATACCCTACACCACAAGGTGGTCGAGGTATTATGTCTTTGTGCATTTGTTTGTAACAGGCAAAAAGAAAAGAAGATAGACCCATAGTTCCTTTTGATGATCTGCATAGAATCACATTCTGAGTCGATTTATGCATGTCCGCCCGTCCGTCCGTCTGTCCATGGATTTTTGCAAACAAAGTACAATTCACATTTATTGCCCTATCCAGATGAAATTTTGCACAAATCATTTGTTTGGCCCAAGGACGAACCCTATTTGGAAATTGGAGATAATCGGTCAAAATTTATATATAGCTCACATATATATCTTCGTCCGATTTGCCTTTTATTGTGCACCAAACGTGTAATATCAGTCCGAATAGTATGGAATTTTGTACATACCTCCAAATTAGGCCTGAAAATAAGTATGCGAAATTTGATCGAAATCGGTTCAGATATAGCTATAGCTCCCATATATATTGTTCATCCGATTTGTTATTTTTGTCCTCCGCAGCCGTAATATGCACCCTGTAACAACAATATTTGGGGAAATATATCAAATACAGCTCAGAAATACATTTGCTAAATTTTATCGAGATCGGTTCCGATTTGGATAAAGCTCCCATATATAACTTCGTCCGGTTTGCCTTTTATTGTGCACCAAACGTGTAATATCAGCCCGAATAGTATGGAATTTTGCACATACCACCAAATTAGGCCTGAAAATAAGTGTGTCAAATTTGATCGAAATCGGTTCAGATATAGCTATAGCTCCCATATATATTGTTCATCCGATTTGTTATTTTAGTCCTCCGCAGCCGTAATATGCACTCTGTAACGATATTCAGGGAAATAGATCAAATACAGCTCAGAAATATCTTTGCCAAATTTTATCGAGATCAGTTTAGATTTGGATATAGCTCCCATATATATCTTCGTCCGATTTACCTTTTATTGTGCACCAAACGTCTAATATTTGACCAAATGGGATGGAATTTGGAACTTACGACCGAATTGAGTCTAGAAGCTAGTATGTCAAATTTGGTGAAGATCGGTTCAGATATAGCTATAGCTCCCATATATATTGTTCATCCGATTTGTTATTTTTTGACCTCCGCAGCCGTAATATGCCCTCTGTAACAACAATATTTGGGGAAATATATCAAATACAGCTCAGAAATACATTTGCCAAATTTTATCGGAATCGGTTCCGATTTGGATATAGCTCCCATATATATTTTTATCCGATTTCAAATTAATTGTGCACCAAATGGGCAATACAAGTCCGAATTTAAAAGATACAAATGCTTCGGCTTTAGTCCTTTAAACATTAAATTATAATTATAATCATAGCATGTATGATTGAATTCTCCCATAAAAACTTTTAATTGTTATGCGGAGCTCTACTAAATTAGCAGAGTGGTGTGGGGTATTATAAAGTCGGCCCCGCCCGACTTTAAGTCTTTCTTTACTGGTTTTATTTGATTCTATCATGTATGCTGTGTCCATTTTAATGCATACGCCAAAGTTCAGTTTTGTTTCACCACTCATTTAATTGACTCATCTGGCCTAAAAGTATGCTTTAATATATCAGACATGTATTGGGGTAAAATACAAGGATGGAAAGTTGGAATTGGCAAATGTGACTACTAAATTAGGCATTAGTTGATATAGCATGCCTATGTCACATGCCACTTTCCATGGGGCGTAGGACAGATTACGAATATGAATGTTAATTAGAGGTCTATCTTTGGTATTAAAAATGTCTTTTTAAAGTAATCAAATGTGTATTTCATAATATGGAGGATGGTATGCCGTTAACAATGAAATACAATATCATTGATATGACCAACACTAGCACGCTTTCAGGACCATATCTTTTTCATGAGAGTTTGCACAAACAAATCGCAAAGGGGCTAGCCCGTGTCCGCGATATCCTCACGAATTACTTCCAAGAGGTCTTGAATCGACACTGTGTTGTTTTATACTTTATCCAACACATTGTGTGATACATAGCGCCGTCTTGTGGAAAGTAAACGTTGTTCAGAAAATTCTCTGGAAAGCGAAATCATTTCGAAAAAAGTACCTCGACGGATTACAAACAGCAACAAACAGTTACGCGTTGATAATAGAGACGCTTCTCAAGAAAGACTCTTGGATTTTCTAAGACATGGCGCAAGAATTTAGTTTGTTGACGTAGCCGCCTAGGTGCCAAAAAACGGGATCTGGGTATTTTAATTTTCAATATATGATTAAACTGAAAGTGACAGTAAACTTCATTTGAGGCAGAAAGTGTCAAGAGAGAAAATAATCTATACAAAATTTTACTACAAATCTCAGAATAAACCATATATGTAGGAATAATAAAATTTAAGGAAATCAAGTTCAAATTAGTTGTACAGGGTGAGATTTTTTTTTTTTAAATTTTATTGAATGAAAGCAAAAAATTTCGGAAATAGCATCAAATTTTAAAATAAAAGTAGATTTGTTCGAATTGGTTACCTTTGGCACGAATTATGGCCTTTAAACAGCCAATGAAGTCGTCACACGCTGCCCGAATGTTGCTCTGCGGTATTTTGGCCCATTCCCGGCGAAGCGCTTGCTTAAGGTGATCGACACTTTGGTATTTTTTAGGGCTAGCCTTGCTTTCCAAAATACTCCAGACACAATAGTCTGACGGATTGGTATCCAGAGACTTTGGTGTTGAGTCCTGTTGGAATGTCCAAGGACTGCGGTCAAAATGTTTGCGTGCCCAATACACCGTCTAGAATATTTTCGCGATAATATTCGGCATTGATTCTGAGGCTACGGTCGATTAATACGAGCGGAGAGCGACCATCGGCTGTTATGGCGGCCCACACCATCACCATGGCCGGCGCTTGAGTTCTGATGGCCAAACAAAGGTGCACATTTTCAGCTGACCTCTTTGGCAGTAAACACGATCACTTTGTTTTTTTACACTTTAACTGCTAGACAACGAATGTTTTCTCATCGGAGACGGAGAGAACCAAATTCGGCAGTTTACCACTTTCGGCCAAGCGAAGCAACTCTTTAGCTCTTTTGAGTCTATTTTCTTTCTATTGCGTTGCAAGTTCTTGCACTTTTTGGAATTTCAATGGCTTTACGCCGAGCTCATTTTTCAATATTTGCCGAATGGAATATTGCGATATGTTGAGCTCACGAGCCATTTTTCGCCCACTGCGACGCTGCTTTCGATCAAGTCGCTTCTTTACTTTTCGAACCATTTTTACTGATGTTGCTGTTTTCTTCCGTCCACGTCCACTTCCTTGACGTCGGGCTACGCCACCAGTCTCGAGTATCACGGTAACGAGCGATGGTGCGAGACACAAAAGATTTATTCACATTTTAATGCTGGAGTGTTCTAACGATAGCCACTTGTGGCTTTCCAGCCAAATATAAAGAAATCACACTATCCCGCTTGCATCCCATCACGAATAACTTATGTTCTGGAAAATTCTCACCAAAATGCTTTTTTATACGGGTATATTAAGTTTGTCATTCCGTTTGTAACACCTCGAAATGTACATTTTAGACACCACAAAGTATATATATTCTTGATCAGCATAAAATTCTAGGTCGATTTAGCGATGTCCGTCGGTCTATCCGCCTGTCCGTCTGTGGAAATCACTCTAGCTTCCGAACGAAATGATGTAAGTTAATAAAAATTTACTCAAATGTGTCTGCAGGACTTTTGGTATTGAAAATAGGCTATGTAGGTCCACGTCTTCGTATAGCCCTCATATAACGGTACCCTCCGATATTCGGTATTTTGATGATTTTAGCGACATTATTTACCGGAATTGTTTCAAATTTGGTATTTGAAGTTCGTAATGGATACTACAGTCTATGAAAGAAATTTATCTATGCAGGTCCACGTCTTCGTGTAGCCCCCATATAACGGTCCCCCCCGATATTCGTTATTTTGATGATTTTAGCGACATTATTTACCGGAATTGTTTCAAATTTGGTATTTCAAGTTCGTAATGGATACCACAGCCTCAGACAGGAAATGGACCATGCAGATCCACGTCTTCGTATAGCCCCCATATAACGGTACCCTCCGATATTCGGTATTTTGATGATTTTAGCGACATTATTTACCGGAATTGTTTCAAATTTGGTATTTGAAGTTCGTAATGGATACTACAGTCTATGAAAGAAATTTATCTATGCAGGTCCACGTCTTCGTATAGCCCCCATATAACGGTCCCCCCGATATTCGGTATTTTGATGATTTTAGCGACATTATTTACCGGAATTGTTTCAAATTTGGTATTTGAAGTTCGTAATGGATACTACAGTCTATGAAAGAAATTTATCTATGCAGGTCCACGTCTTCGTGTAGCCCCCATATAACGGTCCCCCCCGATATTCGTTATTTTGATGATTTTAGCGACATTATTTACCGGAATTGTTTCAAATTTGGTATTTCAAGTTCGTAATGGATACCACAGCCTGAGACAGGAAATGGACCATGCAGATCCACGTCTTCGTATAGCCCCCATATAACGGTACCCTCCGATATTCGGTATTTTGATGATTTTAGCGACTTTATTTACCGGAATTGTTTCAAATTTGGTATTTGAAGTTCGTAATGGATACTACAGCATATGACAGGAGATTGTCTGTGCCGGTTCACGTCTTCGTATAGCCCCCATATAACGGTACCCCTGATATTCGGTATTTGGATGATTTTAGCGACATTATTTACCGGAATTGTTTCAAAATTGGGATTTGAAGTTCGTAATGGATACTACAGCCTCAGACAGAAAATGAACCATGTAGGTCTACGTCTTTATATAGCTCCCATATAACGGTACCCCCCGATATTCGGTATTTTGATGATTTTAGCTACATTATTTACCGGAATTGTTTCAAATTTGGTATTTC